GCTCAGGTGCACTCAATGGCCTCTCCTTTACCATCACCACCCGGTCCAACGTTGAGGCGTGGGCCAGCTTGGGCAACCCCAGCTGGGACTGGCCTACGTTCAACGAAGCCTCCAAGAAGGCCTACTCCATCGCTTCTGGTGAGGGCACAGGGCCACTGAAGTTGTCTCTGCCGGACAACGTCGAGTCTTTCTGGCCCAAAATCTGGCAAGATACGATCCGTAGTCTAGGCTTCCCGGATTCTTGTGACCCCTTAAGTGGGCAGGGAGTCGGCAGCAGTCTCACACCGGACACTATAGACCCGGAGACAAAGCAGAGGAGTTACGCCGGCAGCGCGTATCTACAGTCGGCAAAGTCTAGATCCAACTTGACGGTTGTGACCGGAGCGTTGGTAGAGAAGATTGTCTTCAGATCAGAGGCTGGCGAAATTGTTGCCGATGGCGTTCAATACACCAAGGATGGGGAGACGACAACAGCAACAGCACAGAAGGAGGTTGTGTTGACTGCTGGCACCCTCAACTCGCCACGGATTCTTGAGCTATCCGGTGTTGGAAACGGGGAGCTTCTTCGTAAACTCGGCATCGAGGTCGTTCTCGACAACCCGCATGTCGGCGAAAACCTGCAGAACCACGTCATGGTCGGCGCAAGCTTTGAGGTCCTTCCAGAGCTCGACACCATGGATGGCATCATTCGTCAGGAACCGGCTGCCGTCGGAGCTGCGATGGAGGCATATGGTAAGGGCACTGGACCGTTCTCGAGAAGCGGCACTGTAGCGACTGCACAGCTTCCTCTGCCCGCTGGCAAGGATATCACTCAACTTCTTGACAAGTTGAGCGGCCCCAACACAAGCGCGACGCCAGAGTTCACAAAGGCCCTCGAGGCATACGTGCGATCCGTCCTGACGTCGTCTTCGGAACCGTCGGGGTACTATCTGTCGTTGCCGGGATTCGCATTGTTCAGCGGAGACGGAACTATGGCAGCACCACCGCCTGGCGAGGAAAAGTACTTCACAATAGCGCTGCTCCTCGCTCATCCCCTGTCGCGAGGGTCAAGTCATATCACTTCTGCGTCCCTTGAATCGCCCGCGGTCGCCATCGACCCCGCGTACCTATCCCATCCATTCGACGTCGAGGTTCTGGCCAGACATATCCAGCTCCTGGAGAAGATCGCCGCAAGCGAGCCGCTCCGCAGTCAACTGAAGCCGAGCGGAAAGCGCAACCCTGTCAACGCCTTGACAGACCTCGAGGAAGCCAAAGAGTTTGTGCGTAAGACAGCAGTTGGCGCTCATCACTTCACGGGTACTTGCTCCATGATGCCTAGGGAGCTTGGTGGAGTGGTAGATGAGAAGCTCCGGGTGCATGGAATCCGTGGCTTGCGGGTGGCTGATGCTTCCATTGTGCCCATTACAGTGCGTGCCAACCCTCAGGCAACCGTTTATGGCATCGCCGAGCGGGCTGCCGATTTGATCAAGTCGAGTCTATAGGCGCCATTTGTAATGAATAGGGTGTAAGGCCTCGAGTTGTACATTCAAGTTGGAAGTATCATAGCAACGAAGAATTTCGGTGAAATCGAGTTCTATCCCTGAGTGGGATGGAAGCAGGGATCATGAGGTGGTGAGCGCAGCAATTGGGTTTTGAACAGGTACTTCGAAAGCCATGATTGATAAACAGACTTCGCTGCAGAAACATCGTCCATGGTGTCAAATGTCATCGTAGTCGCATCAAGGTTGTAGTTTGTTTTGGGGTAAGAATGTCACCGAAGAATGTCACTACACATTGATGGGCGGCTTGCGGCAAATGGCCCGCTGGTTGGCGGATGCTTCCCTTGAACGCGTTCCTATCGCGCTTTTAATGGATAAAGTACCGGTACTTCCTCCACCCCACCGGGACCACCCAAACAAATGTACCTTGCCAGGAAGCTACACGTGACGGCGAGCTCACCTCGCGTCCTCCAACCCGGCCGCGTCGCTAACAATTTCGCGTCAAAATCGCCTTCACCTTTCGTAATTGCCTGCAGGCTACACCCACACCGGTCTTTCTGCGCAAACAACACTCCGACAGCAAACCTCAGAATATCGTCCTGCGTATGCCCTGACATCGACTCCGACGCACGCCAGCTCTTTAGCTCTTCTCAATTGCATGCCTCACTCGATTGCCCACCATGGCTGAACAGGCAAAGGGCTTGTTCGCAGAATGTACCTTCGCCTTTGTGCCGAGTGCCCACCTAGCTCCCAAAGAAATCAGCGAGTATGCCGGCATTGTTGAAGGTCGTGGCGGCACGGTCCTCGACCCAAGACGCGATGGCTCCCTCAGACTCGAAGCGGTTTCTCACATCATCTCCAATACCATCGACTTTCCCCAGTTCACCGAGACCCAGGCCTTTATGATCCCAGTCGTCAATACCGACTGGATCAAGGCATCAGTCAAGAAGAACAAGCAGGCACAGGTCCGGCCATACTCTCCCGATCCACGCATGTTCTTTTCCAAGGTCATCCTCACAACTGCTGGTCTGCCTGAAATCGACAAGGAGACCATCATTGGTGCTACGCTGGCTATGGGCGGCATGGAAGGCGCCGATGTGACACGACAGACCACTCATATCTGCGCTCTGACTACGGAAGATCCTAAATGTGTCATCGCCAATGAGAAGGGTCTCAATTGCAAGATTGTATTGCCCCACTGGTAAGTCTGTAAAGTCCTTATGCTTCGAGCCACCTCTTACACATACACTAGGTTCGAAGATTGCTTCAAGCTTGGCAAACGTATACCCGAAGGCCCCTATCTGCTCCCCAATCCCGAAATTCTTAGCCACGATGAGAACCAAGGCGAAGTGCAAGCTCCCACATACGACCAGCTCAACGGGGCGACCTCAACAAACCCCAACCATCTCAGTGATGGCCCGAGAAAACCAGCCACAATATTTCGGGATAAGGATGTCATGCTTTCATGGGATCTCAGCATTACTCCACGATCACTGGAAGCTGTGAAGCAACTCATCAACAATGGCGGTGGCAAGGTGGTCGACAATGTTGACGATTGCGACTACTTTATTTGCCAGTATCGTGACGGGGAACAGTACATCAAGGCTGCTCAGTCAGGGAAGGACATTGGCAATCTCTCGTGGCTTTACCACCTCATAACGCATAATGAATGGACGTCTCCGCTCCGCCGTCTACTTCACTACCCGGTTCCCAGAAATGGCATCCCCGGATTCGAAGGTCTCAAGATTTGTCTCTCCAACTACGGCGGTGACGCTCGCATATACCTCGAAAATCTGATCAAGGCGACCGGCGCCACATACACCAAGACGATGAAGGCCGAGAATACACACCTCATCACAGCAAGGAGCAGCAGTGAGAAATATGAGGCGGCCAAGGATTGGAACATCGAGACGGTCAACCACCTGTGGATCGAAGAGAGTTACGCCAAGTGTGAGATGCAGAGGGTTACTGTCCCCAAATACTCTCATTTCCCCGTTCGCACGAACCTGGGCGAGGTAATCGGGCAGACCTTCTTTGATGAGTATTGCTTGCGAGAAACGTACTACCCAGGTGGTGGAGAGGGCTTGTCGCCCCAAGCGACACGGAAGCGCAAGATCCTTGAAGCTGCTCAGGAGAACTCGTACTTGCATGGGCCTGCTGAAGGGGTTGTGATTGGCAGACAAGAGGACAAGAGTGAAGAGGCTATCGACGACAGCTTCATGACGCCTATACGCCCTAAGAAAGGCGGCCGCGGAAAGGAGAATGATACCCCCTCGGAAATGTCGACTGGAGGCCGAAGCGCCAAAAGCAAGGCTTTGACCAACCTACAACGCATCGCCCCCGATATTGCGCTGTACGAGAAGGAGAAGAAGCGCAGCAAGGATAAGCAGGGCCCATGGGGTGGTAAGCGTGCCGCAGACCAAATCGACAGAGAAAGGGGTCGCACATCAAGCCCAGCCCAGGCAATGGAAGTGGATGAGGAGGATGAAGATTCAAGGCCTTCCAAGAAGCGGAAATCATTACGTCCAGATGTGGAGATGAGGATCGTGCTGACGGGCTTCACGAGATGGGTTAATGCCAAGTCCAAGGAGGATACAGAGAGGGTAAGTCTTTTGAATTCCTTTCTTTCTGCCGGGCTAACAGTTCGCAGAGAAAACTCCGCGACATGGGAATCATGATAGTACAAGACGACAAGCCGTGCGACTATCTCGCCGCTCCCCACATGGTACGGACTGTCAAGTTCCTCAAAACCCTGGCCAAAGGGCCTACCGTCCTATCGTCCAACTTCATCGACGAGGCTCTCGAGAGAGGCGAGGTTCCTGACCCCGACGACTTCCTCCTAAAGGACGAGGAAAACGAAGCCAAGTTTGGCGTCAAGCTCGAGACGGCAGTCTCGCGTGCGAGAGCGAATCTCGGGAAGCTGTTGTGGACAGTCCCCGTGTACTGTACTAACAACATCTGCAACGGACCCGAAAGCTACAAAGCTATCGCTGAGGCCAATGGAGCCATGTTCAAGTTGTATCGCGCGCGCAGCGGCACGACCATCAAGCCGACGACGGAAGAGGAGGACGGAGGGGCGCCGCCAGAGCCTGTCTATCTTCTCAGCTCCAATAGTGCCGACGAGCGGTCCCTCTGGCCCAAGTTTGAGGAGATGGCGCGCAAGGGCCATATGGAGCCACGCATCGTCGCAGCGGACTGGCTATTGGATGTCGCCATGAAGCAGCAAGTCTCCTTTGACGAGAAGTACCTCGCCAAGAACTTTTTCCAAAAGAGCCTGTGATGTTCGTTTCGCTCAGCTTGATGGCTAAAGGTAGTTGGTAACTTTGGATTGTACATGTATACATGGGATGGCATGGAGTTGTGCTGCTTTCGGGGTGAAGACCTTGGGACTTGGTGTTTGTTTACGACCCGGCTCGAGGAATAATGTGTCAACGTGGTATGTCTAGTTAGAGATTCGCAAAACAAGGAGACCAATGTCTCGTCGTGTTATAGCATCATGAAGAGGTAGAAGAGAGAGCGAGATCAAAAGAACTTTACACCCTGCGAGTCCTCTTGTCCAAAAATCTGGGCCTTGCCGCGCTTTACCAGGATTTGTAGCGCTTTGGACAGAAGATCCGGATCGAGGCCGTGGAAGTCTGTACGCGCATGGAATCGTTCTCAGCTCACGGGTCCAATCATCACATTGCGAGAGAAGAGAGAAGTTGTTTGTGCCCACCTGTGCCCCTGGTACTCTCGCCCTCTGTAAGCTCATACAGCGTCAGCACGACGCCCTTTTGCGCCGTCTCGTCGATCCACCCCTCGATCGCGGCGGCCCACTCGTCGGGCGTGCGCCAGTAGACCCAAAAGACGTCGGTGCTGGCCGGTAAAGGTTCCGCGCGGCCGTTCTTGCGCATGAACTCGAGGACTTCGCGCGCGTCGGCCAGGCTGAGGCGCTTGTTGAGCGTCTTGTTGTGGAAGAGCTCCTCTGGCGCGCCGGCGGCGGAGGATGTTGCGGTCGCGGGGGAGAAGGTTGTCGGTTCGTTTAGGGGAGAGGACTCGTTGTGGTTCGGGAGGGCGTGCGGGAGGGCGGAGGAGGAGGCGGAGGGGATGGCGGCGCCGAGGGAGAGCTTGAAGAGGCGGTGGTGGCGGCAGTAGGAGAGGATTAGGTCGGACCATTTGACGAGTTGGGCGTGGTGGGTTGTTAGGTTTGTTTGGCGGGTGAAGAAGGGGGGGAAGGAGTATTCCCTGGGGAAGGGGAATGGGGAGGCTGTCGCTGCTGCCATTGTGTGGTGGTGGTTTGACTGCGGGTGGTGATGATTGATGTTGGAGCTTTGGAGCTTCTTGTCGCGAAGAAGCGTCCCTTCCAGTGTGAGCATCGAGGGGTTTCCCATGGTGGGGTAGGGATTTGCGGGCGGTGGAGTTGCCGGGTGTGGTCAGAGCTCGCCGTTGCGGGGGCCGATGGATTAGTGGAGCACAAGGTGTTCTCCGGCTTTTTGATCCAGGACGAGGTTGCCCGCTTAAACGGAGCAAGCTCACGACACATCCTCTCCTGGTAGTCATATGGAGGCCTTATGGTAAATTGTAGGTCGTGGACTTTTTAATGATCAGTTCGTTGCACTTTAAGCCCGAAACTCGACCATCCATCTAAAATACCTATATCCTCAATCCTATTGTTAGTCGTCGAGCCAATCCATGGTCAAGGCTCAACGCATTACAAGTCATAGCTGTCTCTGTTGTATATTACCTATTGTGACCCTTCTTCTAGGCAAGGCATTCTATGACTTTCTTGATAAAAGGCGATACTATCCTTCTGCCAACTGTGAGGTTTACTCATCCTTCGTTGTAAGGGTCAGATGAACTGAGCCCTTAGTTTTCACTAAATCATGCTCTTGATTCTCGTTTTGAGAGTATCAAAGTCTGAGCTTGGCACGCACATGGAAAAATCATATCATATTATTTGATGGAAACTACCTTAGATCTCGTATATGACCTGACTGCGAGAGTGATTCTTGACCTAATACTCGAATGTCCGAGTGAGGGTCATGAGGCCCGTAGGTTGCCTAGAAGCTACCCACCATGCAATATCCCTATCCCGCCAACGTCCAAGAAAGGCTTTCGACGCCTTGAGAAGCCATTGGCTTTCTTGGGACGCCGCCTTAGCCCACAGCTATCTTCCCTCCCATCCTCTGTGAGGCTCCGTGATACACCATAAACCGGGTCATCCAAGTACGTCTCCCATCCACAACTCCTTTCCTCTCGCCCTCTCGTCCTAACGCAACGAATAGAAGCCCAGATCGTGCCATGCTTCTCCGTTCTACGTCAACCATTCTCAAACAAGGGTTACGTAGGCATTGAGAACCTCGCAGGTTCGAACAGCTGAGATTTTGCACTGTTGCAGCCATTTCTAGCGTGAGAGACCATGGAATCTCGATTATTGGTATCGAAATGACATTTGAGAGTATTTTTTAACGGTGTCAGTATTGATCAAAGTCGGTTTCCACGGCCCTTTCATGTATAATCCTGATGGGACATCGCTCCTTATCACCTGATGGCGTGGACACTAAAGTATCGGTTTTGCTGGATCCTTTCGACTCTAAATAGTTTTGTAAATGGAAAACCGAGAAAAGGCTGACAGGTAGCTGGATGCGTAACACCAACTTGCTCGCCCTGTGCAAACCATTCCTTGACACCTAATCCTTCCCATCGACAGGTCCCAGCGACGAGTAGAAACCTTTGCCTCGACAGAATCAAACAGTCTGTTCATGATATCACCTACAGCAAGGAAACACTCCATGGCTCCGATGGCAAGAGCTTATTACGTTTAGCTCGTGCGTAAAGTCAAGGCTGATTCATTTTTGCTCTTTTCCCGAGGTAGTACTGAACGCCCCACGATCGCAGCTTCACTACTCACACGGCCATGTCTCACTGACCAGGTGAGCTCTCACGTAGGATAGTAGGCTTTCGGCCTTCCTGGTCTTCCCCCAGGATGCTTCATAATTTCATATTGCTAATCGCAAGTGTAAAACCCAGTCGTTGATATCACCCACGTAAAAACTGCTCATTCTGCTTCGAGCATTGCTGGGAATACACTAAACCCACATTCACCAAAGCTCTGAATGCATATCGCATCTAGCCACTACCTTGGTCTCATCAGGCATCCAGTCGCCTCTTTCACGATTCCCCCGGAGATGTGTCCTCTCCCACAGAAACCCCGACTCGCAAACCCAGCTCTGCAAAGACAGTGAACATAATCGAGAGGACAGTATTCAGCTTCTGAAGTGATTGATCATGCCAAGTAAGAGGAGTCAATCGTCAGCAAACTGACGAAACCTCATAGACACATGGTCCCTGCATTGATATCCTCTCGCACTACATCTCGAAAGTCTAGCAGGCTTTCGTAGGTTGTACCTGAATCGGATCTGATAGGTCGATACAACTTTCCCCCTTCACCACAAAACCAATCGAACGAGAAGTTGTTGTTCAAGGCACATACCCTTCTGCTAGCACAGGACGAGTTTAACCCATCACAACCCAAGCCTACGATTTGGTCACCAATCCACCATCGGCAACAGTCCGCTCACCAACCCTCACCTCGGTGAAGGCCCGTCAACTCTTCGACCCCAGACCCCAGCAGACCCATTACCTTTTACCTAAAAATGGAGAGATTCTCGGTGCTCAAACCCCGACCATGCCCGAGACCCAGAGCCGCCCCATGTCTCCATCAAACGCACCTCGGGATTTCCACCCGCGAACCAGCGACCCAGCGGCGCCAAAAAAAAGTTTCGCGAAGACGAACGACCGACCACATCCTTCAACAGCAATTCATGATTCGCCTGTATCATTCGCTACCGCGTTGTATGCAGGCAGCAAATCCCTTTCGATTCCCGAGCCCCCTCGAGCTCGATCTACGACTACAGAGACCCAATCTGGGGCCCAATTTCCCTAATGCATCCCCAAATCCTCTCACGCGTCCTTAAAACCCCCCAATCACTCCCCAGGATTTCCCCCTTTCTGGGTCCCGTCGTCTCCGGTACCAGCGAGCCGGCAGACAAGTTCTTCAGCCCGAGTCCGAGGACGAGAACGAAGCCATTGAGATCATGGACGGCCCATAGATGTTGTATACACGGCCGCAGAGGTGAAAGCGACGCTGGCGAGAATGGTATAGTCAGTACGGGATATTACACGTGCAAAACGGTTCGTCGCACGCCGCAGCAGCAGCGGGAGCTTCGCGCGAGGCCCAAACCCCTCAATTCTTCCTCCAATCAGCGCCCCACGCCCGCTTCTGACATCATGCCGAGCGCCGGCGCGAAGCTCCAGCTGGGGCCGCCGCTGCTGCAGCACATGTCCGTCCGAAATTTGTCGTCGCAGCGGCGGGCAACACAGACGACAAAGACGACCCTGGGAAATAATGCCACGGCAGAGGCTAACAAGGGCAACGGTGTTCGTGCGGCTGGAATAGACGCAAGAGCTTCACAAGACGAACAGTCTACCAAGAACACCTCGTCTCATTCAAAGTCTCAGTCCCCCGCCGTTCGTGCTACCACCACCAATACCACCAACCAGCCTCCTCGTGGGACGGCATATTTAGCTAGACAGTCAGTCATCGTCCACACACAAGAACCACAACCTATACCTGCACACACACATATCCTACTCCCGAGTTCTATCGCCTCGTGCTCCATCGCGAAATCCACGATCCCGACTTGTTCCCGTCTCCCCCCGTACCCGCCCCGCCTCCCACGCCGGCTCCTACGGCCCCCTTTGCTTTTGCGCGTGCTTGCAGAAACAAATCCCGTACAACCCCAGGGGCGCTGTCGATTTTGCTCTTCTCTCCGCGTGATACCCCCCGTGGTCCCCCCGACCCTCCTCGTTCCCCATTGAAGTCCCCAGAGCCCCAGCTTGCTTAGTCTTTAGCTTCTTCTTCTCTTCCTCGGCCCCTCTCTTGTCTCCGTTACCTTTTCCCTCAAGATACCCCTTGTATTTCCTCTCTTTGCGTCTCACTCTCACTCCTACTCCCCTTCTGTCCTCCTCTTCCTCTCCCTCCTCTTCTTGACTTACCAACAACCTACCACCACAGCAGCGGCGGCACCGACAACACAATGGCCGAGACGAGAGAAACCAAGCGCCCGCGCGTGGCCGCAGACCCGGCCGAACACCTCCCAGCCGGCATCACAGAGACCCAAGAAGAACTCAAAGAACATTGGTTCGTAGGCAGCATAGATCAAGGCACGACCTCGACTCGCTTCCTCATCTTCAACGGCCTCGGTGACCCTGTGGCAAGCCACCAGATCGAGTTTGAGAACCACTACCCGCACTCGGGCTGGCACGAGCACGACCCCCTCGAGCTCCTCTCCTCCGTCGAAGAATGCGTCGAAAAGGCAATGGCCCAGTTCGCTGAACAAGGCTACTCCGCTGCCAACATCCGTGGCGTCGGCATCACCAACCAGCGCGAGACCACCGTCCTCTGGGACGTCCGCACCGGCGAACCCCTCCACCATGCCGTTGTCTGGCCCGACACCCGTACCACCTCCCTCGTCCGCGAACTCCGCGCCCGCCCCGGCGCAGACGCTCTCCAGGACCTGTGCGGTCTGCCCCTGTCCACCTACCCTTCCTCCGTCAAGCTCCGCTGGCTCCTCGACAACGTCCCCTCCGTCCGCGAAGCCTACGATGCGGGCCACCTCGCCTTCGGCACCGTCGACTCCTGGCTCATCTACCGCCTCAATGGCGGCGCAGACAAGGGCGACGACGCGATTCACGTCACCGACTCGACGAACGCCAGCCGCACAATGTTCATGAACCTCCGCACCCTCAAGTACGACGACACCCTCCTCTCCTTCTTCGGTATCGACCAATCCAAGATCCATCTCCCCAAGATCGTCCCCTCCTCCGACCCGACCGCCTTCGGCTCCTTTGCTCGCGGCGTCCTCAAGGGCGTGCCCATCGCGGGCTGCTTGGGTGACCAATCCTCCGCCCTCGTCGGCCAGTGCGGCTTCTCCCCGGGCCAGGCAAAGAACACGTACGGTACGGGCTGCTTCCTGTTGTATAATGTTGGCGAGGAGCCCGTCATATCCAAGTCGGGTCTGCTGGCTACCGTCGCGTACGATTTCGGCAAGGGTAGAAAGCCCGTGTACGCCCTCGAGGGCAGCATCGCAGTCGCAGGCTCGGGCGTCAAGTTCCTCGTCAAGAACCTTTCTTTCGTGGAAGACTCGTCTCGCATCTCGGAGCTGGCCGAGACCGTACCTGATAACGGCGGCGTCGTCTTCGTGACGGCATTTAGCGGCCTCTTTGCGCCATACTGGATCGACGACGCAAAGGGAACTCTGTGTAAGTCATTATCTCCCAATCAACACCCCTTACCTTACTAACATGCCCAAAACAGTCGGCATCACAGCCCATACCCAAAAGGGCCACATCGCCCGCGCGACCCTCGAAGCGACATGCTACCAGACAAAAGCCATCCTCGACGCCATGGCCAACGACTCGGGCCACGCCCTCGAGAACCTCGCCGTCGACGGCGGCCTCTCCAACTCAGACCTCTGCATGCAGTCCCAGGCCGACATCAGCGGCATCCGCGTCGACCGCCCCGCCATGCGCGAGACGACGGCCCTCGGCGCCGCCATCGCCGCCGGCCTCGCGCTGGGCGTCTGGGACGAGCTCGAGGACCTCAAGCACGTCAACCAGAACGGGCGTAAGATCTTTACGCCCGCGCTCGACAGGGAGACGAGCCAAAAGATGTTCAAAAAGTGGGAGCAGGCTGTCGAGATGTCGAGGGGTTGGGTGCGTGGTAATGCGGAGTAGAAAAGTGTAGAAAGCATGTGGGTTTGAAGATTTTGTCCGGAGTACTTGGAAATACAGAAAAGGAGAAAGAAGCCTATTTTTATTTTATTTTTTTGGATGGTGGTATGATATTGGGGGAAAGTTGGTTTCGTTTAGACAGGATACCTATCAAGTCAGCTTCTTGTCTTGCTTGCCTTTCGCACCCACTCACCCATCCACACGGGGAAGGCGCAAATGTGATCCGTCATCTCAGGTATCCCTCCACCCCTCCTTCCCCCCACATCAAATCACGAGATACTCGCATGACATGCGCATGAGCAACACGACGAATTGTCACCATCTTCAAAGCACGTTCGCGGTCTCAAATTCAGAGGTATCATCTTTATTCTCATCTGTCTCACAGATGACCCCACGGTCGGGAGTCTTCCATGTCCACGGCACATCGAGGGAGATATCCTCCAAGCTGGGTGACAGCCCTCGACACCGTTCGTACGAAATTGGGGACCATCATCTTTCCCAAACGCAAAAAAGTAAGTAAAACATCGCAAAGCCAAGTGCTTTTCTGTGCTCGCCAAATGATTTCCCCCTGCCGACGCCAGCCAAAAATGTAGTGTTTGGTTTCCGCCCCCGTTTCTTGAAGTGTGAAGACTCATGAGTGGAGTGGTGAATCGTATCGCAACTTGAAATTAGAAAGTCGATAAGAACAGGCGTGCAGACAAGAAGTGTGAAGAGCGCGGACCCTCAGAGTGTTCGTCCAGGCCCGGGTATAGTGTTTTTTTCCGGTTGTTCGGTTCCGGTTTTACATGATGATGGCGGGGATGTCAACGTTGGCCTTGATGCTCTTGTGGGGGAGAATGCTGCCACCGTTGACGTAGATCTCGTCGCCAATAGTCACGTCGTCGCCGAGGACAGTGACGTTCTCAAGACGAGCCCACTTGCCAACAGTGCTGTTCCAACCGACAATAGTGCTCTTAACCCACGCATGATCCTTGACCTTGGAACCGGGCAGCAGAACGCAACGCTGAAGACGGCAGCCGTCGCCAATAACGACGTTGGGGCCGACCGTCACGTTGGGTCCAATCTTGCAGTGCTTGCCAATCTTGGCAGAGGGGTCAATCAGAACGTTGCCGCCGTGGACATAAGGCTCTGAGGGGGAGGCAAGCTCCTTGGAACCCTGCTTAGTGAGGGAAGTGAGGTACAAGCAGGTGCCGGTAAGGAAGTCCTTGGGCTGACCGACGTCCATCCAGAAGCCGGGGAGATCAAAGCTGTGCAGCTGACCATCCTTGACGATGGCGGGGAAGGTCTCCTTCTCGATCGAGGTGGGGCGAAGCTCAATGCGCTTGAGAACACTGGTGTTGAGGATGTACATGCCGGCGTTGATGCGGTTGCCAACAAACTCGACGGGCTTCTCGACGAAACGGTCGATCTTGGTGGGGTGATTAGGCTTGTGGACAACGACACCGTACTTGCTAGGCTCCTCGACCTTGGTGACCACAATGGTGCCCTCATCGCCATGGTTCTTGTGGAACTCGGCCAAGTCCTTGAAGGGGAAGTCGCAGATGACATCCGAGTTCAAGACGAAGAAGGGGGTGTCGTCCTTGGCAAGAATGCTCTCGGCCAGCTTCAAGGGACCAGCGGTATCGAGGGGCTCGGTCTCGACGGAGAAGGTGATGTTCAAGCCGAACCTCTTCTCGTACTATGGATGGAGGAAGTCAGTATTTATTATGGTAGTTGCAGAGGGGAAGCTCATGGAAAGACCCACCTCTGCCAAGTGCTTCTCCATAACCTCGGGGCGGTAGTTGACAGCGAGGACAACATCGGTGACGCCAGCAGCAGCAAGAGCCTCGATCTGGTGCTCAATCATGGGCTTGTTCGCGAACTCGACCAGGGGCTTGGGGAGGGTGAGGGTCTGCGCATTGGAAATACCAGGTCAGTAACATATTCGATCAGTGTGGAAGGTACAGCAGCCGCTGGCAGAAATCTGCTGCTGCTGTATGCTGTGTTCAAGCTAGGGAGAGGAATGAACGTACCAGAGGGCGAAGACGAGTGCCGAAGCCGCCGACGAGAATAATGGCTGTTCGAGCAAGTTAGCAAGTTTGCGTCACTGCCGACCACATATTGCGCCTGCCGCCGGCCAGCCTCGAGTATCGCAGATCGATGGGCAAGGCTGGGACTGGGGCGGGCTGAAGCGCATGTAGCTGTTCGTATGGGGCAAGTGCTTACCCTTCATGTTGATGGTATTGGAGTTGAAGGGTTAGGTGATGGTTTGATATCGTTGTGCGACGCAGAGAAAGGAAGACGTGGTAGCTTCCGTGGGTGAGGTGCGTATGTAAACGAGTGTGTGAAGAGTTGAAAGAGGGAAGAGGTTCTCTTGGCCTGGTCGGTGTGACTGAATTTGGCAACAAGGGGAAGCTGCGCTTTTTCGGAGAGGAGGACAGGCGTGTATTTGGTTGAGGTGACCAAAGGGGTAGCTCTTGCAGTTCCAGAAATGGACGATTAGAAGGTTGTTAAAACAGAGAGAGACAGGAGTGCCTTTTCTCGAAAAGGGTATACAATGGAATCCTGCTTGTGGAAAGTAGAACCCGAAGATGGGAAAGTGGAAGAAGACCTTTTGGGAGGAGAAAGTTGCAAAAGGCAAGAGGTTGAGCGAGTGCAGTGAAGGAAGCCACGAGGGGAGTTCAGAAAGTTGGGATGGGGAAAAAAGGGAGGTCAGAGGTCCACGGTTGGTCAGTGGTCAGTGGTCACAGATGGGAAGGCAGAAAGAGCAGGAGAGACGCGAAAAGAGGCGCAGGGTGGTGAGGGAGAAGGCACCTTCAAAAATGACACGACATCTGTACCCCCCAAGGTCCCGGTCAATTGCAAGCTGCAAGTCACTCAACACTGCGTTTTCTATGGTACGGTACTTTGACCGGGCTGCCTGCGATAGCAATCAATTGGGGGCAGCACAGCAAGAAGCACAGGGCACTCAAAGGGGGGAAAGAGAAGGGGCCCAGGGGCGGAATGGGGGGTTCGAACGGGTACACTAACGGGCGGGATTAGCACCAACATGCTGGGCTGCAAAGTGTCTGGCATTTTGATACGTTGTTCTAGACTTTTTTATACCTATCCCAATCAGAGCCATTCACCATTCCACGTTGCCTGCCCGGATGGACTAGATAACTTGGCGATGCTCGAACTCTGACGTTCCAATTATAGCCTAGAGACAGAAATATTCTTGTAGCTGGATGAGGTACTCGAGAGATTTGAGGTTGTTGATTACCAAAGGAAGGTAGGACTGTTCAACGTTCTTTCCTGGTTCATCGAAATTCAGGGTACGTAGACCGGAAGACGTACCGTCCCATGGCCAATGCGGAATCCCATCCAATGGCCTCCCTCCTCTCCCCGTGCGCAGCTCACCCATGTGATCCCATCGTCCAATCCCATCCCGTCAACTAGAGTGGGGCTCCGAGGCGAGAGGAGGGAAAAAAAAGAAGAAGTCGCAAAGTCCAGGGAAGGAAAGGACCATGCTGCCATGCAACAACGCTACGCCGCAACGCCCAGCCCAGCCCCAAGCTCAGGCAAGGCCCAGCTGTCAGGGGCTGCCACCCATCACTTTCTCCAGCTTTTCGACTTTCGCTCCCGTCCTACCGAGTACGCTCCTCTACTCTATCTGTACAAAGCATCGATTTTCAAACTCAAAAAAACCACTATCCGCACGAAAGCACGAGCACAGCCGACGAGACTACAGAAACAGCTACATACAAGCACGAAAACACACATACCCTCCCGGCGATCCGTGTGTGGGGATAAGTACCGGGACTCCCTACTAGGTACACCATCACAAGTTCACAACACGTTCGGCAATGGAAGAGGCACTATACTCGGCCCTCCGAGCCTTTCCAGGTTCTCAATGGCCGCAACAGAGAGAAAAAAGTGGAGGTGTAGCTGTACGATGGGGACTTTGAGGACTCGACGTTCCAGTTCGAGATTGCGGCGACTCGTCGGCCCCAATGGCAACATAGCTCCTGGCGCATAGCACATTGCATTGGCACACAAGCACATCACCTCATCCCGCCAAACACATTCGAGTTTCCGCGAGGCCTCGTCAACCCAGCCTTACCCCCAATTTCCCCTGCCGAGATTGACGAATTTGCCCATGCCTGCCCTCCGCCCTCCCTTGCTTGTCGCTGCCGCTCGCAGTCTCGTCTTCAAACTCCAAGCCAATTGACGGTGCACAGCATCTTTACCATCCTTAGGGGAGAGACGTCAAAACGGTAGACCGTCGTACGCCGCAAGCCGATACTGGACCGCCCGTATGAAGTCCGCATCTGGACGTGCCGCGGGGGCCACTGTCTCTAGAGTCTGGCTCGCTCGAAACCTAGACTGCAAGGGCTCTCCCTACAGATCCGAAGACAGCTGACCGGCGGGCCCGTACTAAATTCGCGACTTTTGCCTCCCCTTGTGCCCCGGATAATGGATGCGCATCTCTGTCCGTCCGTCAGCATCACGGGAACAGATGCTGGGGAACCGGGAAGATCAAGCCTTGGGGAGGAGACAAGAGGATGCTCACGCCCGAGACACGAGCTTTCTTCAGCTGCAGGGCTCGGCCGCTCGTGTTGTGTTTACGAATCCATGCCGCAATTACAACGAATGCCAGCGTCGCATCCCTTCCTTGGAGCTATCAAGCCTTCAAACTCACATCTCTCCCTTGGCATCCTTTTTCCTCTTCGATTGGTGAGCATGTCTCGGCGCGTTCAAGAAGCAGCGCCTCGCCCACATTGCGCTGCAACAGGCCAACAGCTCTCAATGATCATGGCCAAGTCAGGACAGATTTCGCCTTGACGCCTCAGCTAGTGGAGTCGCTCATCCCACCTCATGCTACACGTCGTCCAATGCCGCGGCAGAAATCCCCATCTCGTGACTAGGAAAGCTGGGGTGGAGGAGTAGTAGGGGAAGTCGCCCCTCTGTGCAAAGCCACATTGATTTCCAGGAAAATCGTCAATTGAGCCACCCACGCTGGGGGCCTTGAGAGGGGAATGCCTTTGTGCCATGGGCCCGGCGGAGAGGATCCTCAAATCGCTCAACATGCGACGTGACGTACGTGTTCACCTCCTCTCCTTTCAAACAACCGCGTCCGGCCCACGATCCATCATCCCAAGCCTCTGCTGTGTATGGAGTAGGGGGCAACGTAGGCAGTCACAGTTCCAGAACGCTTGACGCCGCCGATAAGTGGGGGTCACAGAACCAACGTGACATGCCACCTCAAACTTGAAAGAGAAGAAAATCCACAATCCACATCCCGGGACTGCCCGGCGTCGAATTTCGGCCGTGGTCATTTTTGCCATTCGGCTTCTCATGCTGCTCCTCAGCATACCAGCCTGCAACTAGTCCCGTAATCCTGTAGGCAGTGGGCAGTGACAGGTTCCTTCAGTTCCATTTTTGGTTTTCTTCCCTAATGCCGAGCCGTGATCTCTCACCGTGTCCGTTGGATCCCTCCGTCAGTTATCACCTCTGGAAGGGGTAGCCCGGTCCTCCCCACCCTTCCGTGCTAAGATCCGAATAAACCCCGGCCCGAGATCCGCACCACGCCACACGGACTCCCGCTCCGTCCGTCCCATCCCACCGATACACTCAAACTTTCAACGACCAAAGGCAAACAGCAGATCATCCGAAACTTCCAGCCAGGCATCTCATCTTCTCCCTCCTGCGTGGTTCCTGTGCAGAGATGCCAGGAGTGTACTCCCGCCGTGGAGCAATGCGAAATCATTTACGCATAGTCGACGCGTATCAAGGCAGGATAATGTTCTGGAATGGACGGAACATACCAGGCGAATCCTCTCACCCGTGATTGAATAAACAACACCCGCCCTCTTCCCATCCAGCTCGAGCACACAGGATAGAACGGAAGGAAAAGTGAATATGCATAACTGGCAAGGCAGGATCGGCAGTCCAGAACAGGGACAAGAATGATGCGGATGACATGCCGAGTTTATCTACGACTTTTACCTGAGGTACTTTGCTCAAGTGCACCGGTATCGTCCCAATCCAAAGCTACAAGTACCTCGAATACTTTCTCGCGAACACGGAAGCATGCAAATACCAAGTGTTGTCACACGTCCATCTCCCTTCTCTCTGTACCCCTGCTCGGTTCGTCAGAACGATCTGATACCATAAGCCAAGGTGGGCTTACTCGCTAAATGGCGGGCGCGTACATGGCAAACCACCGCGTCGCCTAACACCTTAGTACCTTACCTTGCCGGTCAGATTGGAACCGCCGAGACATCATCCACTTTCCGACTCCTCGGCTCCGGTGGAACTTAGCTCCCCACCACCGACCATCACTATTGAATCCCGTCCTGCCTCTCTACACCCTCCGGGAAATCCGGCAAGCTGCCGGTACCAGACTCCATCAACCCTCCACGTCAATGTCAATTTCACGAACCTCTACCCAAGTTTACGAGATGACCACAGCAGCATCCGATCCATTACTTCTCCTTCAACCTCCCTCCTGTGTCATAGTCACCTAGCACAAAGTTCAACAGTCTTTGCAAAAAAAGGAGCTTGAAAGCGTTTTGTTTTTATTTCTTTTGTGATCGTCTTTGTTCTTGCCATCCATACCATGAAGTCTTTGTCGTTAAAATTTGGTCGTTATCATCATCATGAGTGTCGCAGAGGCGTCCGCATATAAAATAGGAAAAAGGCGTAGGATCATGAGAAATTCATCATCCTCCTCCTCCTCCTCCCCCGCCACCTTCTCTCTCGCCTATTCTTCTCGCACCAACAGTCTCATCAACCTCGTTGCCTTCAAACGTCTCTCGTCATGTTATCTTGGCTCTGCCAGTCTTTCATCATATCCATCGTGCCCTCAGCTTGGCCAAAAGGCCCTCATCCAGTCTCGTCAGATCCTCCCAAAAAGTCGTACGAAAAGCGTAATAATCGTAAATGAACCCCCTTGAAAAAGGAATCAAGATGTAATTCGAGATGCTGAACCTCTCCCAGGCACCATCAATTTCGTCGGAGATGCAGGAGAAAGAAGAAGAAGAAGAAAAAAACGTATGCTTCGCTTTTGAGGCAATGCGTAAGGGGGCGTGGCTCTTCTGGCCGTCTTTAAGCCATCCTCCCACCCCAAATGACCCCCTGATTTTTGTCTCGAAAACAAGAGCAGAGAATGAAGAAAAAACCAAAATGCCGAGTTCACGTCTCAAGCTCAAGTGAGTCTAACCGCCCCATCATCGTCATATGTTCCAATCTGTGTGGTAATTCGTCATTTTCGAGCAAGCAATGAAGGAAGAATGTGGTTCCAGCTTAGTCGAGGGCGTACCCTGAGCAGGAGGAACAAAATGCGCAATGCAGAAAGAATTGTCAAGAAGGAAAGATGGTCGGTCGGCCAGAGTCGCCTCCGGTTGTTGATCCGTTCGGATAAATGAAGGACAGCCCCTGACTGGTACTGTACAATCCCAGCCAAGCGCGCGGTCATCAAAAAGTCTTGAAAGTAAAGAGAGGAAAAAAGTCGAATCCGAGAATAGGCGACGAGAGAAGAAACGCATTTTGTCCGAAATTCGAAGGAGACCGGCCGGAAGAGTTATGAAGTGCAGAAATCAGATGTGCCGCGCGGAAACCATGATTCTAGTTCATTAAGTCGTGAAGAGTCGTCGCAGTTGGAAAATATGCGTCGCTTTTTGCCCGTTTTGTTTTCTCCCCCAACATCTCTCTTTGACCCTGTGACCTCCCAGAGCAGCTGTCTGGAGGCGTCGTCTTCTTTCATAGGCTCAATCAGCTGCGAAGCTGTTCCACCTTATAATAGTCGTCGTCTCGAATCCCTGCCGGAACGTAACGCAGGGATTCAGGCTACCTGCCTATCTTTAGTCGAAAGAGGCCGTAGAGCTGCTGCTCGAATGGTGACCAGATCGACGGTGGCTGTCTCGCGAGCTGTGACTGGATGATGTGTGGCGGCTCTTCTTGGAGCGGCGAGCAGGCTCAGTGGCCGGAAGCCCCTGAACGATGCCATTGCGAGCCAGCATGCCGCCGTTGACGGAGAAGTTGCGGCACACCATGAAGGCACGCATGGCGGCGTTTTCCTGGGCCAACGAGTCGGATTGATACGCGAGATCCGTCTGGTACTCGCGTCCGTTGACCAGAACCAAGCAGGTGTAGCCGCTGTGATCGCGGTAACACTCGTAAGAAGGGTCGTTCCATCCTCGTCGCCGGCAAAGACCTAGATTGGATCGGTTAGCCCCAGATCTTCGTCTGCAAGTCATTCTGAGCCAGTCTTGATGGCACAGCTGAGGGAGAACAGCGGATACACGCCTCTCAACGACGTTATGCCATCTGTATCCGAGCCCAATCCACTCTCACAGACTTTTTCCCCCTTGCGAACCCTGCATGCCGTTCCTGAAGAGAGCCGCAGCGAGAAGCTGACGTCGATCCCCGGACATAATGCCACGTCCCGACTCGTTGAGAGTCACCACGAAACGGGAGACGCATGTCATTCCCGCCATTGACAGAATGCAGGGGTAGGGCACACGATCTGACCCAGTTCCCCAGGTCATCATGGGCAGCCCCACTTATACGGACAATGGCGATGACGAGGTTCAGGGAAGCATTGGGCTCCAACAATCCATCTACAAAACTCAATTGATGACTTACTCTCGAGGTACTGCATGTAGAAGCCTCCCATGTTGGCAGTTATTCCCAATGGGTCGATTAAGAGAAGCGGTGGTGGTTCTGAGATGCAGGTCCAGATCCAGGCGGGGGAGACGGGAAAGACCGTAGCAGGGGAGAGCAGTTGTCTCAGAGCAAGAAGGAAGAAAAAGTGAAGCAATGCGACGAGGGTTGATTCCTATCCAGACAAGGGGACCAAAGATGCGGACGCCGTGAGATGCAATCGAGCCCAACGGTGAGGCGAGCAGAGAGATCTGTGGTCGGGGATGTGATGGGATGGGATGGGCTGGGCTGAGCTGGCACGCACTCTACGCACCACGCGCCAAAGCAATGCTGGGAGGGTCGTATGTAAGGCGTAGGGCAGAAATCCGGGGCGTGGTCGAGGGTAGGCAAGTATGTAAGATATGAGTTGTTCAACGAGATGTAAGGTAGGAGAAAGTGAGCTGGAATCGGCTAAGGTTCTCGATGTTTTCGTGGTTCCCAGGTTGGAGAAGTAAAAGCCTGAAGAGGTATGGGGGGACAAGATGAAGAAAGTCGGTGGAAGGGGTGTTGATGTGTTGTTACTTGTGCGTGTGTGCGTGTACGGAGTATTGAAGGTGGTGTGTGTGGGTGGGTGGTGTTGTAAGTTAAGCTACGTATCCAGGGCTTCCGTCTCTCGGGTTGCAGGAAAGCATCTGAGCCATGAACGGAGAGACATGTGTCTGCTTTATTGCAGAAAAAAAAAAGAGGTGCCTTTCTCTTTTTTTTTTCTTTCTCTCTCTCGTGCTTCTGGGCTTGTCAACGGAACTAGTGCGGGGGCAAGGGGGGAGGGGTGGAGGGGGTGGTGGTGGTGGTCAAGCAACAACAAGTCCAAGTCCAAGTTCAAGTCCAGGTCCAGGTCCAGCATCAACTTGGTAAAGGTACTTGGACATAACATCGACACTATCCGTAGCAGTATGTGGTATTGGAGAGCTTCGGCGGCAACGGCAGCGGCAGGAAAAGGAAATGAGGGACCAGGCAAGAAAGAGGGGAATGGAGCTGTGTACCTCACTACCTTGGCTAGGAGGAGGAGAAGACAGACGAACGAGGAAAAGGTCAACAAGCAAGCGACATACAGGGCGTTTCTGTCCGTCTGTTCGGTCAGTCTGCTGCATCTCTGGAGTCTGGGCAGGGACGTGAACATGGAAAGCCAGACGCCGAACCGACAGGGGGGGAAGCAAGAGAGGTAGAAAAAAACGGGCACTGCGGAAAGAAGTGCACAATGACAATGGGGGCGCTTCTCTCAATGCCCCCTTCTCTTTTTTTCCCTCTCTCTCTCTCTTAATTCTTTTTGGTTCGAGATGCAAGCGGCGATGCGGCTCTCGAAAGAGTGTGACCCATGCTTTGCTGCGTTGGCTCGCCTCGTTGCCAGTTGATAAAAACCGCTGGAGACTAGACAGCTCCACAACGACACACTGAAGAGGGGGGGAGGGGGGTACCAGCATCATCGCTGGGCAAGGGCCCCAGGGCCAGGGATGGGCGGACGAAGATCTGTCTCTCTGCTGCTGAGACTTGGAGGGAAAGGTCCCCTGCTCGTCCATTAGTCTCCCACTCTCTCCAGTCTTGCTGGCCCAGTCCCCTGGTCGCTCATCTCGAGGCCCGGTCGTTCGTTGGAGAGTCCGACCTGTAGCAGATGAGTATCGAGGCCTGGACTGGAGAATCGACGAGGTATCTCGATAACGTTGCCCCGTACGGGACTTGACCGCAAGGTCCGACATGCTTCGGTCTTCAGATGCGTAGGAGGAGCCACAGAGCTTGTCGCTGCTCGTGGCGCTTGACGGTCCCGTTCAAGCTTCTCCTTCTAGGGCACTTCGACTTTTCGAAATGTAATCTGTGCTGCCGCCGGTCGTGCCGCCGAACATCGACCGACTTACACTTTATTCTGTTTTGGGCCCAGCTTGTGGTTTGCCCACGACATCATCGTCACAAGCAAAGGCGCGCGCCTCTGGTACATACGTACATGGCCGAAACTTTGGACGAAGTCTCTCCGACCATGTGGCCCGCCGGGTCGCATAGCGGGCTGCCTTAGCTTCTCTGGGGCTACAGCAGAAATGTCGAGGGCGAATTGTGAGACGAAAAGGACTGAGAGAAAAACAAAAAAGAGGAAGAGACTGACGAGGGCTGCAAATCTGCAAAGCCGGTGGCAAAATGGAACCATACGGACATGTAGGACCCCAATCTGGCGAGGCGAGCTGGTCCTCCTCCGGCGGCGCACAAGAGGTCTGGTACGTTGCTGTTACTTGATCGAAGAATCTGCCAAGTAACTCTCGTCGAAGAGTTTACTTGACGTGCGGGATACGCTGGTCCCGAGTCCGGGCTTCCATGGCCTTTGATTGAATTGTTTCGGGCTGGCGGCGAGTCAAAACGCCAGAGCATGCTTATTTGCTTTTCTGGCTCCTCCGAAGAGGGATGTGCCTAGTAGTGTATAGGAATGCCCTATCCAGTGACCGTGGAGAAGAGAGAAAGAGACAAAGGATGACTGATGCGAAATCGATGCCCTAAATTTTTCGTGTTAGCGGCGACTACTGCACCTGTAATCAACTATCGAGTAAAGGGCCGGTTGGCACTTGTGGACAATTCCTCAGCAACCTGTCAGACCGTAGACGTGCCGTCTTTGTCGGCTCCATGGTACTGTTGCTGTCATTGTCACCGTCGCTGGTGTTGTCCAATGTTTCCACCGCTCATTGTTGGTCGTTTGTCACAGGCCGAGCGCCAATATGTTGTTGTTGAGATATGCCATCCATCGTCATGTATGTACGTATGAGGCCATGTACATTGCTCGCTACTTTAGGCTTGCGTGCATTTGTTGACTGCGGTCAACGAGCGTCTCTGCGGGGGCAGCAGGACGCATGCGGTGGGTTCGGACTCGGAGTTGAGCAGAAGAGGACCCCCCAAACCAAGCCAAACGTCGAGATTGAATTCACCATGCCACCCATGACCCATCCTGCTGCTGCTTGCTGCTTGCTGCTCGCTTGTGTTGCGGGACCCGAGGTTGGGGGATTGGAACCATGAAGAAGAGGAGGTATCCGTACGATGTAAAGCGTCTCCGGCAACTTGGAAGGTGACATTGTGATACCAAGAGAGAAGGACGATGAACCTAGAAGTCGAAGAATTGGCGTTCGTCTGTGCCATGTCAGGCAAGGCCTGGCCGTGCGCTTCGATGCTAGCTGGGACAGGGTGAGGACAGCGCCAGGCGCCGGGGCCCACGTTTGGGATCATCGGTGGCTCCCAATGATGTGCAGCGATGGCGGGCGATTCGCACGGCATCATCAAAGTCAAAACCGCCTGTCGGCCAAAGTTGTCTCGTAGGCTAGCAATTGTATCCAGTCAGAGACGGCCAAAATCGAAATCCTTCTCCAATAGCTCAGCGAATCACCGGCATAGAAAATGGAGAACCCCCCCGGGGAGCGAGAATGTAGTTATACTCCGGTACAGATACAGACTGGGCTCGTTGCGGTGACGGATCAAGGTACCGCCCTAGAGCGGCAAATCAGCGCTTGCTGGGCTACCGGCCGTTCGTTGGCTCAGAGTGCGAGCCAGGGTGCCGCCTAAAATAGAGACCCCCGGAGCGATGAGCGACGAAGGATAGACGAGAGCGAGCGAGCGGTAGTCGACGGCGAGACGCTGGATCTCTAAGGTTGTTCATGGTGCGGCGGCTGCAACTCCCAGGGTTCTGCCATTACTGATTTTCAAATCCCATGAATGATGGGGGCGACGGCCGCCAGGGAATAAGGTGAAGTCGGTGGCACCTGGTGACCGAACGGCGGGCCTCCGTTCGAGGTTCAAGGGCCCCCGGCAGGCGGCATCGTCCCCCGCGGGCAGGATTGCAAGGTCGGTGAAGAGGTCATCTCTCAAGTCTTGTCACCGTGAGCTAAGAGGGTAGCAGACGACGTGCATGAACACTCTGAACGCCGAGAGATGGCTTTGAGAGTGGGTTCGACGGGGGCGGCGAGATCCATCAACATGGAATAGCTTCCCCCTCTCTGATTTTGAGAACCCGAGCCAATGTTGCTTCCTCACGTCGGAGTGGGATGAGTAGCATGGAATCGATAGGGAGGGGGTGCGCTGTAATCGGCTCCGCGGGCAAATTATATCTCGCTTCTCCATATGCAAGAAGCATGTCCCTCTGTCCACTTCCCCTCTCTCTGGTATATTGCGAGAGTTACAGTGTTCGCCGCAGACTACCTAGATCGAAAAAGGACCCTCTCTCCTGCTGTAAGGTGAGGCAAAAGTTAAATAACTAAAGCGATGATGGCGGCGAGTGTGGAGGGGCAGGATAAGAGGAGGAGGGGGAGAAGAAAAAATAAAGCCACGCGAATGCAGACCGTTAGATGGCCGAAAACGGACAACGACGGCGACACCACCAAAAAGGGTGTGAGGACGGTGAATACCTAGGTCTGTATGCATTGAAAAGGCCGTGAATGCGTGGTGAGGTCAGGTAAGGTCAGGTACCTCCGATGGAGGGGGACAGGAGGCTATCGGAGGGTTCGAACAAGACGTTGGAGTGGTTGATATTGTGTATTCTGTGTCGTGCTGTTGTTCCGTAGTTGGTGGATGGTGGGCGTGGGGAAACGAGACGAACGTGACCTCGGTTGTTGTCGAGTATCCGCCGTACGAGGTGAGCGGTAATTACAGGTTGTTGTAGCCGTCGTCGATGTCGATGTCCCCATCGTCTCCATTTCGTATGTTGTTGGTTGTCGGAAGAGGAGGCGGACGACGTGGTGGTGCAGAGGAGGAGACGAAGAAACATGGGTACTTGCACAATCACGTAAGTTCAGTACGTATCTTGGGTACTCGCAGTGGGAAAGAGCCATCTGGAGGCAGTAAGGTACCTACCTAGGTAAGGTACCTGAGAGAGAATCAGTACGTACTCCGCACCACGGACATGACATGACGGGTACGGATACCTTGGACGTGGGTTGGTGATGTGGGTGCCGGTGCATCAGTACGGATCCATGGAGACCTTTGGCAGCAGCAGCAATAACATGTAGTAGCAGCAAGCAGACATACCTACAACAAGTAAGGACCAGCAGCAGCAGGCAGGCAGACGCAGCGCAACGGCTGGCTGGTGCAAGCGGGCGCGCGCGAAAACGCACAAGTTGCAACTAGGCCGGGCCAAAGCAAGCGCAGGCCCTTGGGACGCAGACCACACCATGCAATGATGAGCTGGCAGTGCCGCTCGACGGTGTTGCTTTGATGAACCTGGAAGGTAATCCAAAGGAAATCAGGAAACCAAGCCCGGCGAGACCTCGATCCAAAAAGGCAGGGTGTTCTCTCTTGACATGCAATGCACTGGCCTTTTTTCTGCTTTCCACACCCCTCGCCCATCTTTGCCGCGTCTCTCTCTCTCTCTTTCTCTCTCGATCTCTCTTCATGTGTGTGTGTGTGTGCATGTATGCGTATGTGCGAATGTGTGTGTCTCTCTCTCAGTAACCCACCCTGATATCTCAGGTATTTGTGCCTCTGCCTCGAGTCTTGTAAGCCAATTGGTAAATACACCCTTCGTAAAGGCTAGGAAATCGAAGTGAGAGAGAGGCAGGTACTGTGGTACTTGGCCGTTCGCAACCGCGATCTGTCAATGCAGGTGAGAAAAGCAGAGTCAGATAAGGTCATGCGCGCAGAGGTCGAGCCACGGCAAGATTGCCGCGGGCCAACTCTTTTCTTGTTATTGATGACTTGTCGTAAGGTAGCTCGTAGCTTGTAGCTCGTTGTTGCTGCTGCTACGGAGTAGTGGTACTGCTGCTTGGTTCTCCACGGAGCATGGGGAGCCGTCAAGAAGATGAGAAGCAAAGAGGAGGTTGGCGGCGTGCAGCTTGCAGCTTGCCGCAAGGGGTCGTGTCAGTCAGCGAATCGCCCGTGGCTTCCTTCCCGAATCAATCTGGAAGCACCGTGGAAGGCGCCAACGATGTCATTCACTCACTCCTCTTACCAATGACTTTTACACTCAATCATGCATTCGCTCACTCTCACTCACATCCGTTACTCTCACTCACTCGCCGTGTCACTCATCTCATCTACCTCATCTACAAAGCCACTCACAACCATCGCTCGATTGCGGCAGGCATCTCACCACCTCACCTAGTTCAACCTGAGCAGGTGATGCCGCCCAGCGCCGATTGCCTTACCTCCATGGTCTTTCCCTGAGAAAGTCTCACCAAGCTACTGCAGAGTAGAGCAAAAAGGGTGCTGCTAACTGGTGCTGCTACCAAAGAAAAAGCCAAACGTCTCTTGCCCGACCTGACAGAGCTAGCTCTTAGTCTCTTAGCGCTCGCCGTAGAAGCCGTCCCCAGATGTGATTCGTCAATTGACCTCTTTCTGGAACCCTGTCATCTGGATCAATGATCAATCCCAGCTTTTCCCTCTCTCTTACTTCTTTTACTCTCCACACTTTGCTCCACTCCAGCGGCCGGCTCTCACGAAGCGGGGACGATGGTGGGGCGTCCGCATGTCTGTTGGCGTGACCTGACTTTTTTGATAGACGGTAGACCCTATCCAAAAAGCCGATGGGACTCTTTTCGTCTCATGTATTTTGGCCATGACACATTACTTTGGCTGACATCGAATGAGAGATGGGATAAATGAACGGACTATGTATGTACACCTCCTGGGCATCCTGTCTATACCCGCCTGCCTCACCAAAATCATCTGATTTGAACTCTTCGCTTGCCAAGCGAGTGGGCATCGGAAGACCCCTAGTTAACCAAGATTCCGTGTGCCAACGACGGACCCTTTCTGTGTAGGCTCTGTATTCGTAGTGATACTAAAGTGGAGATATCCTCACTACGTCCGGAACTGCTTCCGAGACAGAGCTCTCTTGAGCACTTATTGTTATTATTATCCAAGTCTCTCTCCAGCCCTGCCTTGGCCTAAGAGACGACTCCACCGAGCTTCATTTGTCTTACAATAAATCCCCGGTTTAACGCGGCTAAACAGAAATCATAGAAGTGATACGATGACCGTGCCGAGGTGTCTCTCACCGTCAATCTCTCCATACAGTCTCTTGTCTCTGCAGACACATCTTGTAGTACAGAAAGAAGCCAGCTGTGGAACGAAACCAGTGCGTGTCCTCCCAAAGCCAGCATCCATAGCCCGGGGCTTTTTGTGAACCATGGCCTGCGGGATCCGGTGGCTCGGGAATACAAGTTTGTGATTACGCTGGCGTCCCCCTTGTGTGCCATGTACTGTAATCTGTATTCGTACCCCGTCTTGGAGCTGAGCCGGCAGGGTAGCTCTTTCGATGAGGGGTGTGAGGGGCACACCAAAA